ATAGCCTTTACTTCCAACTCTTTAATAATCTGAATAAAGGATAACTGTATTACTTTCTAAAGGAAGAGCTTTAAAAAAGTAGCAGAAAATGGGAAATTTTTCAGCATATACTAATAGCCACTTTCTCAAAGGTTCAGAGCTTCATAGTGAAAATTGCTGTGGTCTAGCTATACCCATTGCTTCTCAGCCAGTACTTCGGGGGCAAATAAAATGGCTCAAAGGCTTATCAAGCTCAGTAACCCTCCAACCACTGATGCTATGACAAGGATGCAGCATGAGTGATAGGAAGATGCTCCTGCCTACTGAATGTGATGAATATCTAAATTATTTCTGCTTAAAGTATAGACTTATTCTTAATTTATGGAATTAAAGTTCTCACCTGAAATCCTTGTTCATGCATTCATTCCTGCCATTCTTTTTGTCTCTATATATTTTGTATATGCTTTTATATAAACACAGATACTATAGAATTTTTTCAGTTGTGAGCTAATCTATTACCAATAGGAAATATAATAAAAGTAACACAGCACAATAATTAATTGCTTTAGATGAATAATCGTGAAAGTACCGTATCATCAGATTTTGAGACAAATCTTAACAGCTAGGTAAGAAGTGAAGACGGGGTGCATCACCCTTGTGAAGGGTGTAGCCAGATTATTAGATGGTTGTTACAACGGTTCTCAACCTGTGGGTCGCGAACAATGAAAATACATCCTGCATATCAGATATTTACATTACGATTCATAACAGTAGCAAAATTACAGTTATGAAGTAGCAACGAAAATAATTTTATGGTTGGGCGTCACCACAACATGAGGAACTGTATTAAAGGGCCGAGGCATTAGGAAGGTTGAGAACCACTGAATAGTAGGTAAACAAAAGGGATGTGTTCTTTCTCAGTGCTCATGTTTCTGTTGATGTTATTTACCTGTTGATTCAAGCTTAAGTCAGCTACACATAGATAGATTAATGTGCTACATTTACAGAATCAGAAATTGGCCCTGGGTGGTTTGGCTCAGTTGGTTGGGCATCTTGTGCACCAAATGGTTGCCAGTTTGATTCCAGGTCAGGGCACATGCCCGGCTTTTGGGCGAGATCCCCAGTAGAGGGCATGCTGGAGATAGCAGATAGATGTTTCTCTCTTTCTCCCTTTCTCTCTCAAAAAGAAAATCAATAAAAAGATATCAGAAACTGCTCAAAGATCTTTTAGAATTTGTCTACAGCTGAGCACAGTACCAGCTCTTGGAGCTCTCACACCACTTTCTCCCCCAACTTTCCCTTCTCTCAGTTGGTTTGGCTGTGACTGGGTCCTGGGGAGGACATTTTCTGCTTTTCTTTTGGAGAACTGAGATATCTAATTAACCTGGTAGAAGCCCCTCATGTACACACTAATAAGTCATGGAAAGGAAGGGAGGAAATACTTAGAAAATGATAATATCTTGTATGGGAAAAGTTTCTAAGGTTCCAATATTAATTTAGAATAGTGTTAACAGTTCTTAGCAGAAAGTTCTCAGAATTAAGAAAACACAGAAGGTCTGGTCAGTTGGTCTGGATAGACAGTCATGCTAATTGGGGTGCAGATGAGGGTTTCCTGGTCTGAAGTGGTATTTTCTCTGGTTTCACTGCAGAGTTGCCAGGGGCCCTGAGCTAGAGTGGGAACAACACGAGCCCTGGGTTCTGGTTCTGAAGGCCACTCACCGCGGGCAACCCATTTGATTTTTCTGAGCCTCAGCACTTGCCTCACACGCTGTTGTAAAAATTCAGTGAGTTAATAGGTATAAAGGATTTTGCACAGTGTGGGCACCATACCAAGCAATTAATAAATAAAAGTAATAAGCAATTAATAAATGTAAACTATCATCATCATCATCATCACCATCATCATTAACTGCATTTTTGTACCTTGTTTGTACACGCCAAGAGGACTGTAGGCTCTTTCCTTCAGAATCACGTGGATAGTTTGTGTGTTGGCACAGCTGCTCTAAACCCAGCCCCCAGCAGACTCAGGTTAATACTTTCTAGTTGCCACATCTTTAAATTGAGACCCGATGTCTTTATTTTGGATGAAATGCAATCTGATCTATTTCAAGAGTTTGATAGTAGATGGTTATTTCATTGAACAGAAGGTTTCAAATGACATTTTGAAATTCTGGGATAAGTTATCAAAATTTTAAAAAATGTTCTTTAAGAATCAAAGTCCTATTTGCTACCTACCATGTAATGGAGCTGGATTTATTTTGTGAGGACGTTCATATCTGCTGGTGTTGGCTGTGAGTCATGCAGGCACGTCCTCCTGAAATGATCTTCTATGGAGAGAACTGGCAGGATTGAGGTAACTTTTATCAAAATTAGAAAACGTTTGCACGTTCTTGTTAAAACATACACATGAAATAATTTATCATATGTAAAATGCGGGAAATGTCATTTTTAATGAATTAAGGTGGTTGATGTGTTTAAAAAGCAAAGGAGGTGTGACCGTTCACTCAATGGAAACAAAGCCTTCATCTCGTGGTCAGTCATCGGGAAAAGCAATTTCTGGCTTTTACTTGACTTTCTTTTTCCAATAACTTGGATTACAATTAAATGCATTGATAATAATGACATAATGTTTGCAATAGACTTTTACTTTCAGTAAACAAGGTAAATGCTTTCTAGCAAGTAAACAGCATCCTATAATTCAGGACATGCTACACGTTGACTTCTAAGACTTGGTCTTTTTTGTGTGTGTAGAAGGATTTAAAAGAACAACAGAACTATCTCTGTCCTGATAAGAACTCTGGGGACAGGGAGTGTACTTAAATAGAGGCCAATTAGGGCACATTGGACTTGTTAATGAAGTATACACTTCACTCCCATTTCTCTGTGTTCTAGGCTAAGTTAAGCCACTGGCTTGATTTCTTTTTTTCAAGAGAAAAATACCCATTTGCAAAACACAGGAGAGCCTCCTGGCTTGAGAGAGAAGAGGAGGCCTCACTTGCTCACTTGAGGGAGCGGGTCACTGGACCTTGGTATTTCTCCCGGGGGCCGGCCCATGGACCTTGGTATTTCTCCCGGGGGCCGGCCCATGGACCTTGGTATTTCTCCCGGGGGCCGGCCCAGGCTCGTGCAGGAGGGTGAGCTTTCGGGTTCTCAGTTAGCCTCAGCTCAGGCTGCCAAGCACCTGGCCATCTGAGGACGGTCCTCGCAGGGTGACCATTCTCCCCCTGCCTCCAGGGAAGAGGGGAGTGAGTCCGACAGGGAGAAGGAGGCTGTGCCCTCTAAAGCCAGAAGAGGAAGTCCCGTCAAGTGTGAATGCACATCCCCCACTGAGCCTGCACGTGCACTCGTGGCGAACTATTAGGTCATATTCTGGGCACATGGCATCTCCTGATTGAGCAGCAGGAATTGTTCCAGAGAAAAAACACCCATGTCCTGGGACTGTAGGCAGATGGTTGTGACTGTGTGTCATGCATCATCAAATTGAGGGTGATCTTGCTCCTCTGTAAGTATGCAATCATCTTCACAGTGGATTGTGAAATGCTCACATCGTTCATTATGGTGAGTAAGACGAGTGGGTGGCCCGAGCTGTGGGGGGTGCTTCTGGCTTCATGGACTCACTCACCTAACGAGAGATGTACGGGAAGCCCAACAAGCCAAAAATAGGAACTTGCACTAAGACAAGACTCAGCATCAGTGACAGTAAGTAGACACAACATAGAAACCAGAGAAGAGCTATTGTCCAGCAGTTTTAACCACCAATACCCATTTATTTCAATGGAGAAAAAAAAATCTCTGCATTCTATATGCTCCAAAAGATTTACTGTTGAAACAAATACAATATATGGAACTCTATCTGTATAATTTTACTACAATAAAGACAACATATGACGTCTACTTCCTACAGAAGGCGAACGGAAAAGCACAGATGCCAACAGAGACTGCGTAAGAAAGCGTGTGTGCGTGTGTGGTTAAAACCTTTAGTAAGCAACTGCATTAAAATGTGCTAAGACACTTACCCTAGTTTGTGGCGAGCTCTAGTAAAAAGCCACAGGCTGTCACTAGTTTTATCTGATAGAAAAATTTGGTGTGAGCTTGGATGGTTCATTTACAGTTTATCGACAAGAAGATAATCTTAGTACAAGCACTAACTTTCCTCTTACGTTGACATGCTCACAGAATCAAAATCAATTACTTTTCAAACATAACGAACGTCTTTTATTTGTAGGTTTGCAAACAACTGTATTCGATTCACACAAAAGGGTACTTTTAAAACTACCTGTATTTACTCTATTTTATGCAGGTATATGAAACAAATGGCGTGTATGCGTGTAAGTGTATGTCTATACATGTGGGCATATACTAGTATATGTATACACGCGGTATCTGTCAGCCTCTTCATATGCACGTGTGACCTCCAGGATGACACTTGCAATTGCAAATGTACCGAGGAGGGAGGGGTTCTCTGCCATGATCCGTGTCCCCATAAGAACTAAGTCCAGAGGGGGACTGTGGATTTAGGACACATACAAATGCAGACAGGTGCCCAGGGACGAATATTTCAGCCCTTTGCTTGGCATTTGATGGTAACATTTCCTGCTCTGCTCCCCACCACTTTTGCTCAGGATCACGGCATATGATGGCAGTGAAAACTGGGTGTAGCCCTCAGGTGAAGAGAAAGGCCTCTCTCTCTCTCTCTCTCTCTCTCTCTCTCTCTCTCTCTGCAGACCTGCCTGCTGGTCATGGCAGCATTCAGACCGAATGGGACGGTGGGGAAGCATCAGCTCTGGTCTGCGCTAATGCCCAGCTTGCTGCTGAGGTCCTGGGGGGTCAGCTGCTGGCCTCCATCCCTTTTTGTTTAGCCTCTCAAGGGAGAATGACACATCAAAACTGGGTTGTCCTATCTCATCTCACTCTATAAATACTGATATGTACACGTACAGATACTCATACATATACAGATACTAACCCACAGACACAGCTGGAGGTGTGGACTGCTGACTAGCAATGTGGCAACACATCAGAAAAAGTAGTCATTGTTCCTGCTCCCGGAGGGCACGTGATATGCCATGATCTTTAAACACTCGGGGAATTCAGAGAATCCCATTAATCAAAGGAGAAAGGAAGATGCTGTCAAAATGGTGAAGTACAGACTAAATGAAATGGCAAAGAAAAGGAAAATCTGGAGCAATTGAGGCCTAGTTGTGAAGTTCGAAAGCTGTAAACGGCAATCTTCCGATTTGGATTTTTTTTCCTGTTGCTATGGAAACTTGGTAGTCAAGCGTCAGATGTCAGGAGTTCTCACAGACCTGAATGGCAAAGATTCAGAGTTTAAGTCAAGGAATATTGCAACTCGGTTCAAAACATGTTAGCTGAATGCTAGATACATGACTGACAGGCTGTAATAAACGCATTTATAAACATTGCACTACCTTGGAAATTTTTTTTTCTTAAGCATAGCATTTGAAGAGAGAAGGAACAGTTCTGCTGGTTTATGTCTTAAAAAGCCGGACTTCTCCGAAAGTGCTCGATGCCAAACATCTCACTTCAGACCACCAGCAGCTATAAGAACCTCTGCTACCATTGAGCCCTATCTCTTACAATCAGCCCAGAGCTTGGCTATTTTATTAACAAGGTGACTTGGTAGATTAGAGATTAATGATTGTCCTAGTCCTAGATATTCTTTTTGGTCATGGATAAGAGCTAGATACCTATTGGTATATGAGTTTCCTGTGGCTGCTGCAACAAATGATGTCCAAAAAGGGTCTTATGGGGCTAAAATCAAGGTGTGGGCAGGGCTGTGTTCCTTCTGGAGGCCCAGGGGAGAACCACTCCCTTGACTTTTCCAGCTTCCAGACGCTGCCTGCGTTTGGCTCACGGCCACTTCAGCCACCTTCATCCCTGAACTGTCTTATCAAAGTTCACTGAAGTTGCCTAAGGTGTGGTTATTCTCGAGGTTGCACACTAGCCCACGGTCTTCCATTCTGCCTGATAATAGCATGAGTGGAAATAGCTTGTTCTCTGACACTTTTGCTTAATTATTATTAAGTCTTGAATTTGTATAGGGAATTGGTACCACCAAATCGTTTGTTAACATCAAAGAGATGAAAAATGTGGAAAGGTCAAGCTAGTCGGTAATGTAAGTGCAGCTCATTCTGGAACAAACTTATCATTAGAACTCTAATGGGTTACTCTGTAGGGCTTGGGCTTTTTCATTCAAAACTCACCCATCTACTCTGAACCCATCGGTTTTAGAGGTTGAACATGTCATTTATCTGTTTGGAAAATTTCAAGCAGCCTATCTAAATTCTAGATAAACAGTCTTTGTAATGAAACTCAAGTACAAACAAGGTGATTTAAGAACGTTATGGGTTAAAGCTGTTCTAACAGAAAGGACCATGGAAGTTAACAAGTTATTTCAGGTGTAATTTTTGGTTATGTGCTATACCAGGGACCTTTACATTGCTTGACAAGTGAATTTCTTTGCAGTTAAGAATCTCCTGAACTCATTTAGTTCCTTTATTTCACTCAAAGTTTTCATTGCCTTAAACTCTTTGGTTACTTGGCTGCAGTAAATTGTACCCTGCAGATTCACCCGCATTTGAACGACGTGAAAAGAACATATTAAACGGCATCACTAATTTTATTTAAAAATACTTTCCAGTGTGGTTCCGAGAAGTTAAAATAATAATTTTATTCACTGAGAAAAACAGAAAAAAAATTGGTTAGTAACACCCACTGAATTAGAAAGTGGCCAATCCATGTTAAGTCAATTTAGACTATTAGGTTGATTGGATGAGATCACCTTTATAATTTATGTAAAGTTCTTAGCTTTGCACACACAAAGCCCATGAAGTTGTACCACTTTAAGGGACCACAGCTTCTCCACAAAGCATGACTCGGGGCCTCTCCAGGCCAGGATGGCCTGCTCTGCCGGGTCTGATGCTTCTCCAGACCCCGTCTCTGCTCATAGCACATTCACAATAAGGAAGAACAAAATAGTGATACTCTCAACAACATGGATTGTGTGATTCCATTTATAGAAAACTATAGAAAAGATGAGACTATAATTAGAGAAGGCAGATCAATGAGGGTCTGGACTAGGGGAGGGGATCGATAGCAAAGGGGTACAGGAAACTTTTTTGACTGTGGTGTGTACAATTGCGTAGTTACTAAAACTCATCAAACTGTACACTTAACAGGGTGAATAATTAGAGCCCGGCTGGTGTGGTTCAGTGGTTGAGCATCAACCCACGAACCAGGAGGTCACGGTTCAATTCCCAGTCAGGGCACATGCCCGGGTTGCGGGCTCGATCCCCAGTAGGGGGCATGCAGGAGGCAGCCGATCAATGATTCTCTCTCATCATTGATGTATCTATCTCACCCTCTCCCTTCCTCTCTGAAATCAATAAAAATATATTTTAAAAAATGAAAATAAAAAGCATTAGAATTAAAAGTATAGATTTATTTATTTTTGGCTTAGATTAAGGTTATAATTCAGTGCCTCCTCCTTCCCAGGTACAGACATTTAATTTTGGTCCTTGTTAATACGGTTCATCTCATCTGTCCTTTTATATGCTCACTACTGCTAGTTAATTAAGCCTAAGACAATGTTTAAAAGGTTTTTAGGACAATTTTCTTCCTTGAAGTCGACTGTGCACACCACACAGAGCCCTACATAACCCACAGACACAGCCTAACGGAGACGCCAGCTTGCTGAGGACCTTGGGAGGGTCCTAGGGGAGAACTACACATTCCCTCACTGTCATCAACACGCAATTTAAACAACAAAATTGGCAGTAAAAATAATTTCATTTACATTTTTTATTACTTTCAATGTCATTAGTTTTATTTCCTGAATTTTTGGATGTCAAAGAGAGAAGTGCAGATCTCTCAGTTCAATTCTCAGCTGCAATATAGCCATCTACAGTATCATAATAAACAGAAATGTTTTTATTATCTTTTTCCACTAGGGAGGCATTCTAATGGTGAACGCTGGTCTCACTGCTTACTCACACGGGACCTTGGGACCTTTCTGAGTTTTCTCATCTATAAAGTGCGATAAATTCACAAAGCCAATGAAGTAAATAGAGAGAAAAGCCATAGGACATCAGGGTGTTCGGTTAATGCTAGTCTATTTGGATCTGAATATTACTTAAGGGGAGGAGAAAACCCATTTTTCTTCCCATGTCGTATGATGTGATCAATGCAATTGTATGAGCAACACTTAAAAGATGTTGGCACATTTTCTCTGCAAAGGGCCAAATATTTCCAGCTTTGTGGGTCATATGGTCTCTGTGGCAACCATTCAACTCTGCCATTGTAGCAGAAAGCAGCCACAGACAATATGTAAATGAATGAGTATGGCTGTGTTCCAATAAAACTTTATTTACAAAAACAAGAAGTGGGCCAACTCCTGATTTAAAGACACACCAAACGGATTCTACCAGATCAAAAGTACTATGGCTGAGTGAGGAAGGCATCTCACCCTTGCACTTTGTAATCTAGTTTCAGTACTTTCAGAACCCCCTGCCCACTTTGTGTAATGGGTTAGGCCCATTTCTGTGTAGCCTCTTGTCAATGTCATGTTAACAGTGGCACAGGTGGGATGACCACTAACTTCTGCTCTTATCAGAGAGTGTGGGAGCCATAGGACACCCATGGTTACTTATTCATGCTAGCTCTAACCCAGTCTCTCCTGTCTTATTCTGTACATCTCTTTTTTGTCAGGAAGAACATCTTGGGCCAGGTATACAATAAAACAAGGATTATCATATTCGGCAGGCATCTCTAATGTTCAAATGAACAATATTAAGCATTCTTATGCCTTTTATACAGAGCCAGACTGAGGTTTCTTCGGAAGTCAAACAGGGAAGTGGTAACACCTGTTCTTAACTGTTGTCTTTTTTTAAGCTGAAAATTTCTTGCTTGTGGTGCAAAACATTGGAAGGTCAGCTGAGTACCTTTCCAGCTGTGCAAGGAGACTCAGCTCTCCTTTTTGAGGATGATTTTGGCTTTACCTACAGGTGCCCTTCCCTACAGTGAGATAACCGTGTGCTGCCAGGTAGGATGGCTCTCCATTTAAATGAGAACAGAAAAACACATTGGACCTCTCAAACACAGCACACATGTACCTGTCTTTTCTCAATGATACTATTTTGAGTATACAATGAACATGAGGGCTTTGGGAGTTACTGCACAATTCCGCCTCGGATTAACTACGATGTAAGAGTTCAGAGAGAGGAGCAGTGGCAACCTTTGGGGCCTACTCATTCATTTCTGATACCTACAGGCCAGTGGTCTCCAAAGTAGGGGGCACAAGGAAACCCCTTATTGGTAAGAAGAAAATCTATCATGTCTATTTATATTCCTTTCATTCTAAACAAATAGATTGTTTTACTAATAGTTAATGCATGGATTGGTAGTAGCAGATGTGTGTATTATTATAAAAATATGTGTAAAATATATTAACACTGGGTCTGTGGTGTGGAGGCCACTGTACATTTGGGATGTTGGCTCCACAGGTTGGACGGGCCTGGGAATCTGAATCTCGACAAACAGAGGGAGGAAGTCTCCATTTAAAACACCCACTGCAGCTGGGGTAGCTGATAAGTGAGCGGTTCCTGCAGTGCCTTGGTTCCTCAAAGGGGTGTTATCAAGAATGAGGCTTTATGTTGTATAATTAGGTTATAGACAGTGATGAGTGAATGGCTACTCATCATCTTCTCTCTAGGTACACACCTGATTGTGCACACACATAACACATGAAACGTGTGCACACAAAACACATGTGCACAAGCACACACAGACACTTGGATACGTGTGCACGCAGCATTTTTATTTCTCTATCCAGACTCTGCTGTATGTGAATCCCAATGTCTCCTGGAGCCCAGTCCTGGGCTTGCAGTCTGACTAGAGCTCACGTCAGAAGCTCCTGGAAAACAGATTCCGGATGTTTACTGCAAGAGCTGGTCAGAGCAGGACACTGTAAATAACCCTAATGCATCTGTGTCATAGTCATGTGACAGGTTACTCTCTAGCAGTTAAAATGAATGAACAGGGTGAATTATGGCTGGTGGACTATTGTGTGCTTGTGTGGCTCTCAACCTAAGAATGTTTTTCACACTTTTAAAGAGTGGTAAAGAACAAAAGAACGAAGTCAAAAGAACCCACACTCACAATAAAAAAGAATATGTGACGGAGACCTGATATGGCCCACAGAACCCAAAATATTTGCTGCCTGGCCCTTTATAGAAAATGTTTGCTGACCCCTGAACTAGAACAACATAGATGAATCTTGGAAATGTAATGGGAAGAGGAAGAAAAGCAAGATGCAGAACATCATGCTCGATATACTACAAATTACATAAAGTTTTCCAAATGGCACAAAATAGAACTATACATGGTGTGTGTGTGTGTGTGTGTGTGTGTGTGTGTGTGTGTGTGTAGTAAAAGTATAAAACATGTCAGGACACATTCTAACTCATAAAAGCGACTGTCTCTTGGGAGAGAGAATAATAAATAAAACTGGAGAGAGGCACACCTTTACCTGCAACATTTCGTTTCTTGAAGAAATGTCTCAACTATCCAATGAGACACTTCTCATTATAAAGTCTTCTCCTCCTTAGCTCTACCCATAGGACGCTGGCCCAGCACAGAGCTTTACACACAGTAACTTCCGACGTTGGAATGTGTGTTGCCTGTTGACCCTACTTGCCACTGTCACCAGGATATAGTAACTTCTGTTATTTTTTTTTCTAATCATCAATTTCTCAACTTCCAAATTTACAATTACATCAATAACCTTGTCAAAATGTAAACACCGAGGACCAAAAGGCTTTTGAATGGCAGTAGCTATATGTAAATAATTGCTAAAATTAAAAGTAGACTAGTAGCCCATAAGTAGGACATATCTGATACACATATCTATTCGTTTTATGCTCACATCGATATTACTAGGTATAATAATTTATTTGTTTAAAATAATGCTCCATTACATTATAGTCATTACTAGCAGGCAGTGAAAACAATGTGTGAATTATGCATTTATCTCTTTTCCTATGGCCCCACTGCCATCCATGAATTCTCATGCTCGTTCTTAAAAAGGTGTAGTATCTACTTTAACCTTGAGAAAGATTATTCAGCACAATGCAGAGAGAAACAGGGCCCTGGCGGACCAGTTAACTAATCCAGGCATAAGTTCAGGGGCATCTACAGGCAGTATCACCACCTGGCCTGGAGCATAGCAAGGGGGATGGTAAGATGCCTTTCAACATTACTTGGAGCACTTTTACATGGAACACCCTCTATTATACAGACATAAACTAAAACAAATGTTTCCTCTGGGATAATTTTTTTTGAAGATACGTAGGAAAAAGGCTTTGATTATGTTTTCATAATTATGCATGCACTGGAGTTAGGCCAACTTACAAGCTAAACTGAAGAGGGAGATGAGCAGGACTGAGGTCAGGCTGAAGTGCAGGGCCCCCGCGGCGTTGCAGTCCACTTTGGAATTCTTGCAGGAACACACTTGTACCCTGAGGTCTGTGACGTTCGTCATGGGCGGTTTCCCTGAATCTGTCACCATGATGGGCAGCTGGTAGTTGGCTTTGTTCAGGTTTTGAAGAAGGCTTACCAGGGCATGCGTGTCTGTGAACACAAGGGGCCTTCATGAGAGAGGGTCAGACCTTTCCAAGAAAAGAGTGAGAACATGCAAAACAGGCATTGCATTTTGTTTATAACCATGCGGGTGTTTACATTTAAATTCATTAACATCGGATACACATACCAATTCAGTTCAATTGCACCAGCCACATTTCAGGTGCCTGGCAACCACACATGGCTGGTGGCTACCACACTGGCAGCCCAGGCAGACGTTTCCATCATCGAGGAGGTCTATGTTTCAGTGTTATTATTATCAATTTTATGGAGATCCGCTTTTGTGAAACGACTGAGTAGCAAGAACCCCTCCCTGCAAATTTATTATTCCAAAAAGCAATGTTCACAAAGAGCACATTTGATATCTAGAAAAAATAATGTAAAAATCTATTCTCATATGATCATATTGTACATTTTAAATATATACAACTAGAGACCCAGTGCACGGATTCGTGCACCGGTGGCGTCCCTTGGCCTGGCCTGCGGGGATCGGGCTGAAACCAGCTCTCCGACATTCTCCGAGGGGTCCCAGATTGTGAGAGGGCAGTTCTCGGGTGACGCCCCCTGGAATCGGGCTCCCTCCTTTCTGGTTCCGGGTGTGTCACCTGAGAACCACTGCTGCCAGGTGACCACAGCTTGGCAGCTCCTGCATTGAGCGTCTGCCCTTGGTGGTCAGTGTGCATCATAGCTACTGGCCAGTCAGCTGGTTGCTTAGGTTTTTATATATAGATTTTTATTTGTCAATTATACTTTTAAAAAACTGGAAGAAAAGAAAAAAAATTTACCAGTTCAGAGATTTTTGTATAGGAATCCAAATTCAAATAATCAAAATAAATTCTTGGACCCCAAAAAAGTCCTCTCACTCTCTATGTGGGCTTGAGCTTGTGTGTTGCCTGGGGGATGGATTCTGTTGTCTCTCTCAGCCCAGAGCCCACAGCCCTGGATCTGAATGGGGATCCACAGCACAGCTCACTCGTGGAGATGGGGTCTGTAAGCCCACAGTTGGTGGGAATATCTGCCCTTATCCAGGCCTCTGGGCAGCCCTCAGGAGTGGCCACCCTACCTGGCTACTGTTTTAGCTTCAGGCTATTCCCTTTCAGATGACTAGGATTTTTTATTTGTTTGTTTTAAACTGCCCCTTTCTGGGCATAGACAATGCTAAGTGTTTGGGGGGAAAAATTGGGGACAAGAAAAAGAATTTAGAAGGCATTGTATCTATTATATAAAACCAGGAGGGAAAGCAGATGAAGTATTATCCTAACCAGAAGGTTAGGTGGCAGCGCCGATTAACCAAGGTAGAAAATTACCCCAGTGAAATGGCAGATTAACTCATGGGACATTCTCCCATCTCCCCCAAGCAGAGGAGAAACTCCTCTTGAATGAGAAAGTTCCAGTTGGAAAGATCTGGTGATGATTGTTCAAATCCGCTGCAGCTGCAAACACTAGCAAACAAAAGAGGAACCCCTCAAACAAGAGACGGGCTGTTTTAATTAAAAATAATCAGTGTAACAAAATTCATCCTTTAAAAAGCAATAAAATAGACAAACAGGCAACTATAATCAATAACAGGAGAAAGGCAGTAATAAAATGAGATGTGAGATAAGGCCATCACAATACATATGAGATTTTTAATAGAAAATTTTATGCACAAGTGTACAATACATGTTCAAAACTTAATGAAATGGTAATTCCCCATATCTCTCAAAAATTCTACCTCTAATGTAAGAAGAGGGAGCCCTGACTGGGCCAATGGCAGAAGCCGTTCATTACTGATGGCAGAGTGTATGTCTAAGGCAGTGGTTCTCAACCTTCCTAATGCCGCGACCCTTTAATACAGTTCCTCATGTTGTGGTGACCCCCAATTTCATTGTTACAAATTGAACATAATTAAAGCATAGTGATTAATCACAAAAACAATATGTAATTATACATGGGTTTTCCGATGGTCTTAGGCGACCGCTGTGAAAGGGTCGTTTGACCCCCAAAGGGGTCGCGACCCACAGGTTGAGAA